TTTTGGAACAAGATGGTCGTCTATTTTTAACTCTCATTTGTCGCTGTTTTAACTCAATTTTATTATCTTAGTATCACGATGGAAAATTTATTCACGTGGTAATTACGTAAATTATTATTCGCGGCGTAACTGTATTTCTTGTTATTTATCGAGCATTTATGCTCGCAAATATATAATATATACTCTTAATTATATATTATATAGATATTTATAGCATGCGTGTATCTACCCGTTTATAGATTAACGTATAAAATTATAAGTCCTGTTGAATGATATCATATTATGACGAACGTAGAAGTTAGAATCAACTCACATACATAACAGAATGAACGTAAATACGTAGAATTAAAAGTTATAAATAATCGTCCAATGTATTATAATAACATCGCGTTGCAATAAAATTGAAAATTACCGTAACATTATAAAAGAGGAATCTCATTAATAAATCAAAAAAAAGTGCTTCCTGATCTCGTTAACGTCCATTTGCCAGATAACTCGTAAAAACGATGATCTTAGTAAGCAGAATTAAAAATTACAAATCAATGCCTATATATCATTTCAATTTCAATTTTCAATTATTTCTTTTTTTTTTTCATCATCCAATTATATTATATTTTGTAATTACACAGTTCAATATCGTGTTTCATATCCAATATCATCAATTGATCGATTACTCAACACGTTTAATCATTCGATGTTCGTTACGTGATGCTATTCATTCTTATTGTTCTGATAAAGACAAAAATCACGTAATATCAGAGACAGAGAGCCAGAAGAAGAGAAACATCGTTGCCAACGATCATTTTTCGTTGACAATTCTCCGCGCAATACAAACACAGTGAGGTTGGGCTGTGCAACGCTCCCCGTAACCACAAATCCCATAGCCGGAGCGCCGTAACAAAGGAAAAATGGCGATGGAGATTTTGCGGCGGTCGGCAGCGATCGCGACTCGTTCAATGTACGAATTTCGTGGTCGGCTTTCTGTCAGCAGAGAGAGAGAGAGAGAGAGAGAGA